GGGGCGGGGCGGGGCTCGGCTCCCAGCAGCAGGAGCTGCTACCTGTGCACTCCGCGACCGCAGCCCGCCGCGCAAAGCCCTCTCCATAACTAGATGGCTTGAAGAGAGGCCAACATTTTGGCCATTTCTCCCTCGGCTCCCCCCGGCGGCTGCCGTGCCCCGCGCTGCTTCTCTCTAATGGCTAAACAAACGGCCCCCCGCCGCCGAGTCGGGCTGCGGGCGGGCCGCCCCGGAGGCCGCCGTCACTAGCCCGGTGTCATCATCCTTGCCCGAGGAGGTCCCCGGCCACTTGTCCCCGCAGAGTCCGTTTCCAATCGCGTGAAACCGGCGCGTCCTTGCGCCCTGCTCGCGCCCCGCTCTCGGCCCCGCTTGGATGACGAGGTGCTGTTACGTGATTGGCCGGTGCATAATGGAGTGTGAGCGTTTTTGTGTGCGGAAGCGGCGCGGCGTGCCGGGGGCGCGCGGCCAAATTGGATTGTTTTATTGTTGTAAGCACATCTGGGATCGCGTAGCGGTGGTGGAAAAGAGAGAGGGAGAGAGCGAGCGCGAGCGCGCACTCTGCTCGCTACGTCCGCGCCGCCCGGGCCGCGGCGGTGGTAGCGGAGAGGGCGGCGTGTTTGCGGAGCCCCCCACCCTCCTCCCCGGGCACCTCTCGCTCTCACTCTCCCATCCACCGCCCCTCTCCCGAAGCCCTCCCTCTCTCTTTTTCTCGTGCCGTCGGAGAAAAAGCCTTGTCCTCCATTTCCATGTTCGTTTAATTTTCCTGAAAATGGATGGGACGCCGCGCGCGCTGGTTCAGCTGAGCCCGGCGGAGGGTAGCACGGCCCACGGCCGGCCGGCCGGTCCATCCAGCAGTCAGGACATTCATAATGAATCGACTGGGGGGGGGGCAGCCCCCGCACTCCCACTATCCCTGCCCAGCATCGCTTCTGCGCCATTGGCCCACGCTCTCCACGTGCAAATAAGCCGCCCCTGCTGAGGTGCAAACACCGAGTCAAACACCCGGCCCGCGCCGTGCGTGGAGGTGGAGGCGGGCGCCCCTTACGTCGCCCTCCCCTGTCTCGTCTTGTGCCCCGCCGGGCCACCAGAGAGCGCCGAGGGTCTTCGCCCGTCTCCGCGCGCACAGCGCACCTCTCGGACACCCCCTCGCCCTCGCCGCGCCCCGGCCAGCGTCGTTCTCTCTCTCTCGTCACTCTTTCCACCCCCAAACCTGCTCAGCCATGCATAAAGGGAGGTGGTGGTGGTGGTGGTGGTGGAGGCGGCGGTGGTTTTCTTTGCGGAGCTCCCGCGGGACGGCGCTGACTGTGTGCGTGTGCGCGCGCGCGTGTGTGGAGAGTACACTTGCTCGCCCTTTGTACCAAATCATTCCATTACGCAAATTAGGGGTCCCTCTCTCCTCGGCCTGGGTGCGCTCTCTCTCTCTCGCTCTCTCCCTCTCTCCCTCTCTATCTGTCTGTCCACCGCCGCGCCGGGCCGAAAAGTCCCCCCGCTCAGCGGGACATTTAGTGCCCCCCGCAGGACAAACGAGACAGGTGTTGATGCATTTTCCATGAGCGGCGCCGGCCACGTGTCACGCGCACGCCACTCTGCTGCGACAAACCGGAAGTGTCACGCTCGCGCCGCACAAGCCGGAAGTGGATGCGTGTAACCTGCCCGCCATCGGGCGCATTATTGGTCCCGCGCTCGTGCTTGTAATTGGTGGATTACATTTCTCGCTGCCGCTGTGGGCGGGGGGTGACCCGGGGAGGTCCGAATGGGGTTGTGACAGGCGAGTGCCCTGGCACCAACGGGCGGCGCATTAGCCCCGCGTGACGTCCTCTACCTTGTCGGGCACTCCCGCCGCTGACAGTCCCGTTGTTGCCGCCATGTGCTATGGTTGTCGTCGTTCCTTTCAATATTTTATTTTACATTTTTGTTATGTGGCCATATGGTGACCACTCTTCGCCCCCGGTGGCCTCGCTTGTGGCCTCGCTTGTGGCCTCGCTTGTGGCCTTGTTGGAGAGGAGCGGAGCGAGCTGTCTGGAGCAGCCGGCCGCACTGTTTGGTCGGAAACTGCTGCCGCCGCGCCGCGAGTTTGAAAACTCTGCTGGATCTGATGATCCTGCGTTTGGGCCTGGTCTGCTTTGTTTCCTGTTGTCTAACCGGCCGCCTGTTCTCCTTTCGTTTTGCAGACAAGCCGGTGGGCACGCAGCCCTGCATCCTGTGCAAGCAGCAGGTGGACGGCATGTCGCAGTCGCGCCTGCTGCCGCGCTCGCAGGCCGCCCAGTACGGGCTGCGCGAGGACGAGGTGTCGCCGGGCGCGCGCGTCTGCAACCCGTGCCGCTGCAAGGCGGTGCGCTCGCGCTACGTGCACTGCCCGCTGCCCTCGTGCCCCAACGCCAAGGGCCGCGTCAAGCGCGTGCGCCCCTTCCCGCCCAAGTGGGCCGACCTGCCGGCCGAGCAGCGCGAGCCCATCATCGCCGAGTTCCGTGAGTACACTGCGATTCAGAAATATGCAACTGTGATTGTACCAGGTGGCTGATTCACGCCGCGCACTTCTGTAGGTGTATACTGTACCGCATGCATGAGTGTGGGTGGGCTTGCCTATTGCCCCTGTCCACGGCGCCTTGCGAGCCGAGCGAGTAGGCAAACCGCCCGCACTCTTGCATGCGGTACAGCATAACTACAGAAGTGCGCGGCGTGAATCAGCCACCTGGTATTTTGACACAGCGAAAATTTTCAATCAAACTTAGATTTTCTTTTTCGATTTTCAACCCTTCACTCGCCTCACTCATTGTGTTTCTGTCCCTGCAGAGATCCCTGCGGGCGTGACCAAGGCGTGCACGGCGTGCGTGAACCGCATCTCGCGCCGCATCAGTCCGTCCGAGGAGCACGCCGCCAGCGGGGACGCCTCCTCCAGCCCGTCGGTCGCCTCCGCCACCAACTCGCTGCGCTGGACCGAGGACGAGACGGAGCTCCTCAAGAAGGCCCTGCGCGACCACGGCACCAACTGGCAGCGGGTGTCGGAGGCCGTGGGCGGCACCAAGACGCACCACCAGTGCAAGAACTTTTACTTCAACTACCGCAAGAAAATTGGGCTGGACGCGTTGGTGCAGGAGTACCACAAGGTGAGGGAGGTGAGCGATCAAGTAGTTAGATCAGGTAGCTATGGAATGTAGCGGTTGTCCTATTCAATCAAGATAGTTCATGTCGTAGGTAGTCAGCTTAGTTAGTCAGTGTAGTTGGATTAATTTGATCGTGGTTGAACTTAAAATGTCATTACATTGGTGTCTCCTCGGACATGTGTCTAACTTCGTCTTATTCCGCAGAACCACCTGGGCGAGGAGAGGAAGCCCGCACTCACGGATGAGGAGGAGAGCGGGTCCAGCACGTCGTCCTGTGACGAGGTGCTCCCCGCCGCCGGGCCTCAGACCGTGGACAGCGACACGGCCAGCGCCAACAGCGCCTCGCCCAGCGCGGCGGCGGCGGCTGCAGCCGCTGCGGCGGCCAAGGCTGCGGGGGCGACGGCGGCTGCGCCGACATCAGCAGCTCCAGCGACAGCGGCAGCGCCGGGGACGGCCGCGCCGGGGGCGGGACCCTCGGCGACGGCTGCTCCTGGGACTGCCGCGGCGCCCTCCCCCGGGCCGACGCCCAGCGCGGCCCCGGCTCCAGCAGTGGCCGCGGTCGCAGTCCCGGCCGCGCCGACCGTCGTGACGGAGGCGGACAAGGCCGCCAGCCCGGCGCCCGTCGTGGCCATCGCGACGGGGTCCGCCACCACGCCGTCCGTGACTCCGGCGGCATCGCCGGCCCCCAACGGCACCCTCACCCCTATCCCAGTCTCGGTGACCATGCCAACCTCCGCGACGGCCACCTCAACCTCGCCGCTGAGCGTACCGACCCTGACCACCACTCAGGCGCGCACCACCAGCGAATCTTCCGACCAGCGGACGACCAACAAGGAGGACTACGACAGCTCAGCAACGGTAAGGCTCTCTTTAGGGTCTCCTGTGCAGCTTGTTTGCTTTTGGCCTGCGAGCCTATCGCCTCCCCCGCATGGCTCTGGGGCCAACACTCTCGTCCGTCTGCATGCCTGCGTTACTTCTCCCGCCTCGCTTCCCTAACAGTTAACCCCAACCCCGCTCTGCCCCGCTCGCATCGCCTCGGGAGGCAACCGCTCTGCTTCTTCTCTGCGTCTGGAGCGCTCGACACACATCTTTCTCTTACTCGCTTTGCAATTCAACTCTTGGGGTGTATTAAAAGTCCGTCAGCATTATTTTCATATTTATAAAAGAATCTGCGTTGCTGTTGCTCTTACGCTGCGATAGCCAGGTCGAGTTTAGTCCGCAGTTGACCAGTGTTGTGCTGTGTGTTGACTCAGGAGACTGCGGACGAAGGGCAGGGAGGGGCTGAACCGCCGCAGGCCCCGGCACCCGGCCAGACGCCCGGCCCGGGACCGGCCGGCCAGGCCAACGGGCCCTCGTCGCCCCGCGTCACGACGGTCAAGGACCTCATGCTGAGCGTGATCGAGGTGTCGCTCAAGAAGACGCAGAGCGCGGCGAGCGACACGGCCCCGCCCACCCTCAACTCCATCCTCAACTCGGAGAACAGCTTCATGGGCCCCGGCCGCGACTTCCGCCCCGCTGCCCCCGGCGGGCCGGCCGGCGGCCAGGGTGCCGTACCTGGGCAGCAGGGCTCGCCCGCCGACAAGCAGGCCGCGGTGACCAACTCCCACCTCGGCGAGCGGCCCGAACCCCAGCCCAAGGACGCCGCCAACGCACACCATCCAGACCTACCCTCCGGCCTTGCCCCGGGCCCGGGGTCGAGCTCGGGCCTGCCCCTGGCCAAGGACGGTCTCGTTGTGGTGCAGGTGAGCGCCCCCCCCCC